ATATTATTACGTTATATGTAATTTATAATTATACCATCTTGAGTAGTGCATTTACTTATCAATTGTAAAAGAATATGGTGTTTTTAAAAATAATCTAATTGTTCTTTATACCATAATGTATATTATATACAATGTAATAAAAAAATATATAATATTCCATACTGGAATAGAATAACTTATAACCCTTTATTGCATGCTTTTTTATGCTTTTTTTTGGCCAGAAAAATTTTCAGGGACTTCTTCTGACGAGTATAAGAAATTATCTAAAAAAATATTTTTAGGCCGTAATTAACTGAAACACGAGACATCATGTAAATGATGTTACAATTTTATAATTTATTATGATATGAAATGTAATACCTTTTTATTGTTTTTATAGGCATGGGAAGATAAATAATATTTTTAGCATTTTATATATTTTACACCTATGCAAAGTTGATTTTTTGCATCTTGGCTAGATGTGCAGGGTCCGATTTTATAATAAAAATATGTTAGGCATAGTTAGAATGTTGGTTAAAACATTATTATCGCCTACTATGTCGATATGCCATAAATTTTTAAATATTTTAGAGGTACAAGTGAAAAAAAATCCCTTTTTAAATCAACATTTTTCTTATAATAAATCGATTGTGGATTTTGATTCAATCAACTCAGCGGCCTAATTATCCAAAAATAATTCGCGGGAAAATTTTCAGATCCAATATATTGTACAACTTATAAGTTGCACAATCTGAATATATTGTTTGACATCTCTGACATTAATAATGGAGCTGAAAATCAGAAATTATCTTGAATTTGAAAATCAGTTGTCTTTGAATACTCGCCAATGAAATGTATATCTAAAAATGATAAATTAATTTCTTTATATAGAGGAAATGCTACTCTTTAATTCCATCATAACTTTAAAAGTAAATAGACATAAGACCTAAGTTAAGACAAATATAAAATTGCTAATTGTAATCTATGTGTCACAAAATGCAGTAAAGGGTTAGTCAAATAGCCATAATAATAAAGTAGCAAATCAGACATAATTTCTAAAATCGAACATATGGGAATCTAAAAAAATTAAATTCAAATTACTCTTTTTTAAAAAATATTTACAATTTCTAAAAACCTCTTATTGACTTTTCATAATAATTTATATCTGACTTTTAGCATAAATATAGTCTTAATTTTGAATTATGGGGATATAACAATGCAAAAAGGAGAAACGTTACATAACAGTGCGCCTACATTTAATTCGAGAACGTCCAAAATATTTTACATTTAAGTTAAAGTTTGCTATGAACATACCCCTCTAAATCAATGGCTTCCTCCTTCACGATGTCTAAAATAAAAAACATTAACAAATAGATATCTACAATGTATATCGAGTAAGATACCACCCCCCCCCCCCTTCCCTCAAAATAAAATGGTCCACCTAAGACTTTAGTAATATAATCGAAGACCCGATGAAAGCTAGTAGCCAACGTGTCAAGTATTACGGTTATTCCGGTTTTTAGTTTACAATTCTAAAAAGGATTAGTTTCATTCAGGTTTTTTACGAAATTATATGGTTCGTTCCGTTTTAAAAATTCCTATCGATTCTTTAAGGTTTCGTTTTTTATAAGTTTTGGATTTTTCAAATTGAACATGATAATTTTTGTTTTAATTGACCTTTACTTGTCTAACATTATATAATTTTGTATTTAAAACCAACAATAAAAAATCTAACAAAAAATTATATCAAAAAAAAACAAATATGAATGAATATAAGGATACAATAAATATGTTCAAAATATAAAATAACAAAAAAGACCACGAATGGTATAAAGAGAGAAAAAAATATAAGAAGTAGAAAGAGTCTAGAATAGCTCTTTGGTTAGCAGATATAAAAAGGTTAAAAAATAAAAACAAAAATAAAAGGTTAATTTTTTTTATTTTATTATATAAAATATTAATAAGAAATAAAAATAACATAATGAAATATCTATTCCATTAAAATCAATAATACTTAGCATAAATAAAATTTAAAAACCGTTATGAACCGGTTTGACCTGACTTAAAAAATTTATAATGGTTTATATTGTTTGAGATTTTCTTATAACGGTTCGGTAAAGAAAATTTATTTCGGTTTCGTAGTTCGGGTTGGTTCAACACATTGCTAATAAAACATCACTGATTTATACCAACTTCAAAGGGTATTGTAATGTGTAACTGTTGCATTAGTATGCATTACAAAGGCTACAAAATTTTCATTTAGACTGTTTTTTACTCTTAAATTTTGTTTTCTGAGATAAAAATAAAAGAGGGTAAGTAGGGCTATCACTCCAAGTCAGATTTGAAACAATCACAAAAAAAACTGAGATATTAGTTATATAGAACTCAACCTAGAGAAGGTAGGATTAGGAAAACCAAGTGGTTCATCAGGGAACACACGCCTTAGAATTGAGGACAATTTGCCGATTTTTAGCCCAATAAATAACACTGGATACCTTCACAATAAAAAGTTTTTCCTACCCCGAATTAATATTTTAAAAATACCATCGTCTAATCCTTATAAAAAACTACTATATTATGAAATAATTCTTTCAAATATATTGTTATTTTTTAATCATCTTCTAACTGGGGTTCGAAGCCTATAAAACCCCAATTTCACACGTTTGTTTAAAAGTGAATTTAGTTTTGCTCTGTTCTAATTTTTAGTTCATTTTTATTCGATTTTGGTTTTATAATTTTTTTATATACTGAATATTAAGCTATAATTTATGAAGTTTGGCCAGAAAATATCATTTTCTGAAGTTATTTTATTAGACTATTTATTCTATTTTCTCTTTAGAAAATACCTTTTTAATTAACTTTTTTTCCGTTGGCTATTTTTTGTTATTGGTTTGTTGCTCTTGGTTAACAAAGAAAAATCGAGTTGAAAGAGCCCACCAAATAATAACTACTCTATCCTAGACATATACTACTCTATTATTCTTGATCCCGTCCCTTCCCTAAAATATATAAAATAAATAGTGATTGCATTAAATTTTGGCAAAATATATATGTTTCCTTGAAAATATTATAATTGGTCATTCATTATCATTATCAAAGGTTTCATTTTAATTTCACGTGAATTGTATCATGTGCTTTATACAAAAAAATATATAAATTTAATATTTAATTTTAAACACAATCGCCCTTGCACTAGCCTTGGATTTATTAATTTTCAATAAATAAATAAAACATTGGATAATAAATTGATTGCCGATTTTTGTAGAAAACAAAAAATGGCTTATCAATTCACTTTACAATTTTTCACATGTCGTATCGAATCTAGGAGCCAAGCCACGCTAATAAATATAATAGTAAACATTTCATTGAATAGGAATTATTTTAAGTTAACCATAAAAAAGTAGGTGTAAAAAATAACTTCATAATTTTTGTCAAATCTTTACATCCTTTAAATTATAATCTGCAATTATAACCATAATATTATTTTTTATAAGGAATACCCTTAGCTGCTAACTTGCAGAGCAGGTTACTAACGATAAGGGATTCGTACATTTAATTTGTATCTTATATATGAATTAATAATTAAGACACATGGCACTAACAGTTCTAAAAATACGAACTTGAAATAAATTTATAAATATAAAAATAATAATATTTGAACTAGAACATGAAAAATAAAATAAGCATCACTCCGAATATTAGGTGGTTTTAGGAATATTTACTCATTATCCTTTTTAAACTTGCCTATAACATATTAATAACAATAATGCATATTAAAGGTTTTTATAAAAATTGGTTATCTATTTCAAAAATAACAAATAAAAAAAAAGAATGTATCTTTGTTTATGCGTCATCTATATCTTTGTTTTTATTTTCTACATCATCTTAAAGCAGTAGCATCATTGGGGGAGAGAGGCGCAGGGGCTCGAGCCTCCAAAAAAATTTTCTATACCCTCAAAGGTCTTATTGAAAATGATTGTTTATAAAGGGTGATATAAGTAGGTAGAAATAATATTTATAAAAACACTTAATAGTTGGTACCGGGTTTTAAAATATATGTTAAAATTCAACATATGCTACTTTGCTGGGAGGTATTTAACCTCCTCTCACCGAATGCTGACTCTTACCTCCTAATTAAAGGCCAGACCCTCCTAACCTTTGGTAGGTTAAACGCGAAGACCTAATAAATATTATAAATGAAATATATTTGCCATCTTCAAAATGTTTACTACTTTTTAGTTTTTAAACAATCAATTATTTTTTAGTAAATGTTATGAAAACATAGTTTCTCATTTTACGGAAATTGCATCATCATTTGGTAACATGTTTAAATAAATGTAAATTAAAAAAACATACATGTTGTAGTGTCATCATAATTTTAATTATTATAAAATAAATTTGTTTTATAAGAAAACTACATTAGCAAACCACGTAAAAAACACATGATAAATTGTATAATCTTTTTGAACATAAAAAGCCATGTGGTTTTTTTTACTAGCCTCTTGAATAATACATAATTCACTTTTTAAGAAAACAATTTTATAAGAAACTTTTTATAAACATTATTTTGTTTTTTTTTATCATTTCTATTTACAAAATTTTGCCAATATAAAAAAAATTAAAAAAATCATGATACCATTTATTTAAATATTATTTATGTCACGCGAATGTCAATTTATGATTATTATAGCTTTAAAAAATAATGATGTTTAAAAGAAATAATATTTATTTATATATATTTTTTATAATAATAAATAATATGAAAAACACGCGTTGTTTACTTTATTTGTATTGATATTCCAATGAAAATGAATTATTATTTTTCCAAAATTAAAATCATTATTTTTTTACCTCTAAATTTGTTATAAAAAAGATCAAAATTTTTTTTAAAGAAAATAAAGCTAATATGATGTAGTTAGTTTAAAAAAATTATAAATCATAATTTTGAAAAGCAAAAAAATAACAAGCATGTTTAAAAATATTTAGTAAAATTTATATAGTGTAGTAAAACTCGTTTATTATTTATTAATCTCTAATTAATTTTGGTTTTCAAAAAATAAAACGCTTTCATAATAAAGAAAAAAGCACATTTAAAATAAAAACAAACATTCTTATTTTTGTTAAGAAATCTTAATATACTCAAAAACAAATAATATTAATTCGAAAGTGACCTTTATTTAATGATTAAATTATGTTCATAGAGATAATTATTTTAAAACTTGCCGATATCGTATAGATAAAATACTCTGCATCACCCAAAACATTGGGAAATTCTTTCAGCCTCAAAATTAAACCTAGTCGAAATATCCAAATTCCAATATTCAACAAAAAATAACTCATGAGCCTTGAACTACTTTTAGAAGCAGCAGAATACATTGAGAAGAGAGAAAAAGGTAAAATCAATCTTGTTATAAAATTTCTATCTTTCTAAATCTGTTCACAAGTGTTAATGTGATTTTAATTTTAAGAAGCAGAACATGGTTATGCCTCACTTAGATACCAAGATCCAGCTCATCTGTCTCATAAGAAAAGCTCAAAAAAATTTCCAGGCAAGAGGTAAATATTGATTTAAACTTATAAATTAAAGAAATTTCATCTTACTATATCTTTTCTTAAAGATATATTACAATTATTAATACCAATGATGTAAATTTTAACTAGTTTTTGTTAATTAAAAACAAAAGAACTTTCTAGATTAATTTTATTAGGGCTATCATCAGGGCTTCTATCCAGGAGGGACAACCTAATAATCCATACAGCCATTGTAAAAGATGACCTCCCCTTCTCCTTTAATTACATATCAAAAATAATATAAAGTTGCCTTTATTGCACTAAATTAAGAATTAATCATTAAAATATAAATAAAAATTGTGACTATTCAAAAGTATAAATAATTTTTTTTTTTATGCAAAAAATTTATAGTTTTTAAAAAATATACAAATAGAGGAATAAAAGAGCTAAATAAGAAAATTTTATTTTAAAATTTAGAGGAAGACAGTGTAAACATGAATATAATATGTTCAATATAAAAATTTTGAAGAATGGTTTCTTCCATGGACAAAATTTTAAATTATTTTTAAAACAAGGATTTGATGATCTTCATGATCTAGATTTAATTAATTTTATATACCCTTTTTTCCTCTGAGGAGCTCCTCTGAGGTACTTTGATGAAATTGTGTTAAGTGTATACCTCCTTGCTATAAAGTATTTACCTTGTTGAAACCACTTATATACATTTATAAAAGTTCTAGTGTTGCAAAATTTGTCACAGGTCATTGACTTAGGGGGATCTTGCGGTAACTGTTAATATTTTGAGTAGCATGCACAAACTTTATTATACATGATATTTTTTGAGAAATTATCAAGAATAATTTAACTTGTAATAAAATAAACTATGTTTTTAATTACCTTAAATTAAATCTATTATAAATTTAATAGATTTTTTCTAATCATAGTTCTATTATCTATTTATAGAGGGTCAAAATCTCCTTATGAAACCAACCAAAATTCTTTTAAATTTATATGAAATTTTACTATAAATTTATAATAAAAAAGATTATTTTAAATTAAAACATTGATATCTATATATCTATAAGCCATAAGAATATTTTATAATAAAGATTTATTTTTATGGCCTTCCCCTAAATTTTTTATCAATTTATAAGCTTTAAATTCAATTCATTTCTTGTTTAAATTAAGGGAAATATCCTACATAAATATTCTTAGTATATTCATTAAATGTGGTTATGTTATTAAAAAATTTTCATTGCCAAGTAATTTCTATATAATAACAAATTAGACCCCATGATAGAATATGTCTGAGCTTGGCCATATAAAAACAAAATGACTCCTTAATATCATCACTATTTTCAAAGCTCTACTCTGTTAAGTATATAGATTACATATAGAATAATAATTTTTATGAACTAAAAATATTGATGTGTATTATTTGTAAATTAATTTATAAATTAAAATTATTTATAGATAACAAGATTTAAAATTAATAACCAGGACTTGAAGATTAGAGAGATTTTTGGGTGAATTATCCCTTTAAATTTTTAGAGGACTTTAGGCCCCATTTTTTAAAATAATTTAGAGCTTTAGGCCCCATTTTTCTATGCCCTTTTTAAAATAATTCTAAATATTAATTATAACCATAATTCACTAAATAAATACTGTAGACAAAATCCTGGAATCTCTGGTTTTTATTAGCTTAAAAATTTTTTCTTTACACTAATAAATCCTATCCAACATATTATACACTATTTTTAATTTCATCACTTAGATAATAAATGATTATTTATCATAATATAACTATATATATAGATTATATTGATGGAGAGGAAATTTGAATCTCCTTAACAAATTTACCAGTTTTCATAAATATCATTTTATGCTAATAAAAAATATAATCAATCTGGCCAAAAGCTTTCAATAAAACATTCCAATAAATGTTATACCAAAAGTCCCTCTCCTCTCGGCAAAAATCGTTGATACAGTTATGAATTCAAATATCCTTGATTCGATCTTGACTTAGTGCACGTTTTATTTTAATATTATGCTTGTGAATGTGATAGAACTCTAGCATTTTATTTTTCAAAATTTTCCCTATTTATTCATCAAATCCCTTTAATATTTCATAATTATGATGGTTCATTCAAAATCAAACATAATTTATTTTACGGTTACAAATATGAAATTTTGAAAGCATTTTTTTTCTTTTACTATAGTGACTAAATTAAACAATAATAAATTATTGACAAATTTTTTTGTTATTCTTTTGTTGATGCCTTTTTAAAGTATCGATAGAAATATAAACAGTTTTTGTCCCATCTCGGTTTAAAAACTACACAGCGGACCCGGTGTAACGTGTGAAAGTGATCTATGAGATTTCGAAATCTCTCGCAGTCAAAATCCTACGGATGGGTTGTGAGATTTTGATTTAAATGGCCCCCAATGTTTTTGAAGCGATAAATCTAAAGTAAAAATTTATGACATGAATTTAAATATTATTAATATAATTAGATATAATAATGGTATAATTATAATCTATGTTTTAGAATAATATTTTAATAACGCTTTGCAAGATATATATTTTTTCATAGAGCTCATCTTTATTTTTTTAAGATTATTAAGTCGAATAATGAGAGATGTAAAATCAAGGAACATCATTAAAGTTAAGGATATAAAATATAATATAGAGACAATAATGATATAACACCTCACTGTTTAATTATAATCTATTTTTTAGAATAATATTTTAATAACGCTTTGCAAGATATATATTGTTTCATTTCTGGAGCTCATCTTTATTTTAACATCATTGAAGTTAACAATATAATATAATTTCTCTTTTTAATATATATAAATTAATAAATAGTAGATTATTTATAATTTTACATACTAATAAAATGAAGTAATATATGTGTTGTGGGTAATTTTGTTGGTAAGAGTAATATTACCTACCCTCAAAATGCAGGTTCAAATCCATGTACATGTCTTTTTAAAAAAAATTGTTTTGCTTTTTTTATTTATCTTAATAAAACTCGGTATAATATCTAAAAAGCCCATGCCGCACATCTATAGTTTGTATTTTATATTTTTAGTCTGCATTTCATCGCCTAATGTTCAAAATTATTTTAATTGCTAGTTTAGCTCTTTATTTATTTTAATGTATTTTTAATTAAACATATATAATATGCAATATTATGAAATAAACTATTATTTTAAATAAATTTCGCCTGAAAAATATCAAAAGTTCTACCGGCAAGGCCCACCCATTTTTGAAAATATTTTAAAAACCCGAACACTCATTCAAAGTATGGACGGGCTGGTGAAAAAACTTACCATTGCAGGCCTCTAGTTCAGATTATTGATAGGCCTAAATCAATAATTACGAGTGTCACCTTGCCAATTTGGAAAAAAGTTTAGTAATAAGGAAAAGATCCTTACTAACATGCTAAATTACACAACTGAAATTTGTAAAATATATTGTAAAACAAGTTTTTAGTAGGTTCAAAACCAAATACTCCGATCCCATGATTATCCAGTTCCTCCTCAGATTTCTTATACAAGGAACATCTTCTCGATAGACATTAATTTATTGACAAAGTTTCTGTTACAGAAAATTTACTAGATACAAACCGCCTTTTCTAACCAACCCTCTAAATATCAGTATCCACCCTCTGTAAACATTGCAAAGAATAAGTAAGATAAATTATTAGCCTAAATGGTTTAACATAATGTTTATACTGAATTGGGTCACCAATATTAAAATAAACTTCATTTGGCATCAATGAAAGAAAAAAAAATAAACGAAGAACTTTATTGATATAAATATTTATACATATAATTATTATCGAATGTTGCATATCAGAATGAATGTATTGAATTATATTTATAAACAACTTTCATAAAAAAATATATCAGGCGGAATATAAATTATAAAGAATAAAAAATATATATTTTTTAAAAATTAAAAAATTTTAATAAAAATATATTAAATAATGATGGTGAATATATGATTGCAATCTAAAACATTTTCAAAATGGTATCCTCCATTTTTTATATAAATAAAATTATTATTAAATATTTTAATATTGTCGCGAATATAAAAAGGGTCATATCGGGCCAATATAAAATTATTATTATATTTTATATATGTAAAAATGGGTGTATTTAACATTGTGGCCATGACCTGTGTCAGAAGCCCATGTCCGTCCTGTCATAACATTATTTAACACATAAGCTTTTACGCCTATTTTTTTGTTCGTATCGCAAATATAATTCTCGATTACCTTTTCCATCTCAAAGGTTAGCATAAATTGTGCTAACCATTGCCTGAGAATAGTATGGGAATTTTGAACCCGAGTGATCTCTACACTAATCGTCCTAAATTATATAAAGTAGAATAAAATGAAATTTTATATTAATGTTTTACCTATAAAAACAATTCCCATCACTTTCAATTGTCACCAGGATGGTGGGTTCACCAAGTTGTTTCCCATATTCTATACCCCGACAATGTTTGGGAGGCTTTAGACCATATATTTTAGCATGATATTTTTTCCATGCCTTTGTTGTAGGAAAAAAATATCTAGGGATACTTTCTAATTTATTTATTATCAAAATATCATCATCCAATTCTGTATACATAAAAAAATTAAAAAATAAATCAAATATATATATCCAAAATACAATACCTATCTATAGGGGACTTTGGATCGACAAACTCCACATTGTTTGGGTTATTTTCATCAAGACTATTTTGGGAACCAATATCTAAAGGCAATGCATTATTTAAAATATAAGCATTTTAAAATAATTATAATATATATCTGAAATACAATACCTATAGGTGACTTTGGATCGACAAACTCCGTATCGTGTGGGTAATTTTCATCATCAAGACCATTTTAGGAACCAATATCTAATGGCAATGCATTATTTAAAATAAAACATTTTAAAATAATTATAATGTTATTAATTTTTGTATCTAAAAATTTTTAACTTCATAAAAAGATTTTTAAAAAATCATTACCATTTTCATTGTTTCGTACAATAAATTCTTTTAAATTTGAGAGATTATATTTAGTTTTCAATATGACATTATTTGATGTTATCAATTCATATACACCTTGATATACAATAAATAATAATTTATATAATATAATATAATTACCCTTATCATTTTATTGATCAAATATGGGCCTATCCAGGGGTTTAACATTTTCCCCCCTTTCCTATCAGACCTTTTATGGTCCATGCAAGAACCTTTTGTCCTATAGCAAAAGATTTTAAACCATTTGTTCTTTTTTCATGTTGCTTTTTTTGTTTGAGCTGTGCTATATCAATATTTTGTATAGCCAGCTTCGTTATTTTCTTGAGATGAGCCATATTTACAAACTCTTCTTTTAAACATTCATCTATAGTAATTTTTGCCATAACCTCTGGTAAGGCAAATATTTCCTCAATTTTGTTTTGTAACTAAATAATAATTAAAAATATAATAGTAAAAATTATTTTTACTGTAAGAGGACGTCGAGGTTTCTGACCATACATCAGTTCATAGAGTGAAAATCCCGTGGAAGAGTGTATACAAGAATTGTAGGTGCCACATACCCCTACTAAAGCATCTGGACAGTCAATTGGGATATCCAAAACCGATTTTGCTATTCGGTTCTGGATTGTTCTGTTAACTCGCTCAACCAAACCATTTGCTTGTGGGTGGTAGGCTGAGGTTATTCGCTGAACAATCCCACAATATTTATGGAATTCTGTACAAACATTGTTACAGAATTCCCTACCTTGATCATTAATCTGAATCTTTAATAAATATATATTTTAGTTTAATTAAATTTTAAGAAAATATGCATCATTAGATTGATAAAATTCAAATAAGTTATTTTTAATTTTATTAATTCATAACATTGGTGCGTATTGACAATGATATATAAGGCTTTAACAACGGATTTGGCTGTTTTATCCTTAATAGGAATAGCCATTAAATATTTGGAGAAATAACAAATGGCACATAAAATATATTTTTAATTTTCTTTGGATTCAGGTATCTGGATTAGATCAATGCCAGATACCAAGATTTTGGAACCACTTTTATATTGTGCAATACATTTGAAGTTTTATCAAAACGACTGCTTGATTTTTGCAAACCTCACAGGATTTGATAAACTCCCTAATGTCTTTATTGCTGCCTAACCAATAAAAGCTGTAAAAAATTAAATAAGATAATATTGCACATTTTTTATCTGGTTAGTTTTATTAATCCCCAGATGCCCTCCCATAGCTATTCCTGGGACTGTAGATACACCTCTCATGTATTCTTTTAATTATATTATTTTGTTTATCTTTAGTCCATAAAACCTTTCTTTTTTCTAAAATAATATATCATTAAATATATATAAAATAATATTATGTGATGGACAAAAAATAAATAAAATCCATGGCTTAAATATGTTTTTTGAAAATTTTTGTACATTATATAGATAATGCCAACAAAGAAAATGAAAACCCTAATTATTAATAAAAATATTACTATTCCTACTTTTAAAAGATATTATATTATTTCTATTAACATCTAAAATTTACTTTCACTTATAGTGTAATACAAATTTTTGTCAATAATTTTGAAGGCATTGCATTTCCTAATAAAGTTTGACTTATTAACATTCATTCGAAGTTTGGAACATTTTAAGAATTCATATATATCTTTTAAATTATTGCTAAAATAATTTTTAAATAAAAAATATTTTGTTAAAAACTTACTTCATAATGCAGGAAATATGGAGTTTTACTGTCAGAATCTAAAAATATATATTAAAGATTAAATTTTATTATTATTCTTACCTTTGATAAAATTTTTACTTCTTAAATGGTCAAATTTGCTTGGATTTAATATAATCAATATGGAGTTTTAAAATAATCAAAATGGAGTTTTATTTTGGCGCTAACGGGGCAAATATCCTTTTCAAGAATTATAAAATTGTATTATATAGAAATATTTCCAATTTGACAGCTTCGTTCAAATCTGATGTTTTAAATTTGAGAAAATTCAAGCTATTAAGCTTATTGAAATTCGTGATGCAAGATTTTAAAAAAATCCATGAAATTTTGATTATTTAAATGGCCCCCAATGTATTTGAAGCGATAAAAATCAAAATCTCATGAAATCACTTTCACACGGTATTAGCTGTGAGATTTTGTTGGTGTGAGATTTCAAAATCTCACGGTAATCACTTTCACACGTTACACCGGTCCTATTTCTAATTATAAATGGGTAGCTATTGAGCCATCATAAAGTTTTCACATATAATATTTTAATTTGTTTGATCCATGGCAGGGCCAATATTTTTCTGAACTTAACTTTAACAATGTTAGGATTAAAAGGCTATCGAGATAAAATGTTAAGGTTTGCTTATATTTTAAACATAGCTCAATAGCTACCCAATTACCATATTTTGATATTAATAAAATATATAAGGGTCCGAGTTTAAAACCAAAGTTGGTTTAAAAGGAAAGCTTGTCTGGTAATCGAAAATGGCATTTGTTTTATTCATAATTAATCTCCTGTTTAGGGAAAGATTATTTAGGGGGTACAGGCAGTCATTATAATTATTTAATTCATTATAAATAAAACTTAATATTTAGATCATCTTATTTATGTCCTATTAATTTAAGGGAAAAAATTAATTTTCTTATAATCTGCTTTAAAAAATTTTTTTTTATCGATTTTTATTTTAATATAATTCAACAATTACAAATGAGGCATTATAATTATTATAAAAATAATAAATATTATTTTTTTTTACAAAACTCAGTTTAATATTATATATGATTTCCTAAGTAAATATAATTGCAGGAATGACCTTAAAAAAATCAATTAATAAGGAAAAATTAATCAGATCACGAGATTAATTACTCAGGCATTTATAATAAATCTTAACCATATTTCGGATAAAAAACGTTGCAATTAATATTTATGGGTTATGATTTTTTTTTGATACAAGTTAATTATTCAGGGTTGTGCATTTGACCGGTCAAGTACGTTTCGGTCAATTGACCGATATTTTTAAGTCAATATTAACTTTATTTTGAATATAATAGTAAAATGAATCTATAATATTATTTTTTTTAAATTCATTGTCATTTAATAACTAACATTTAGCTCTCCGTAGCAGAGTCTTCTTCTGATTCATATTCAATATTATCACTTTAATATTTTTAATCAATTTTCCTGATGTCGAGATCTTCAATCGATTTCTATTTTCATTAACCCAAATCGACATTTCTTTCTAAAGAAGAAGTAGAAATAGGAATTCTTGGTCTCTTAATGGGCATGGTGGGCAAAGTTTATCTATTAACTTGAGGTCGGAATTGGTTGTTTCTTATGGAAATTACTGCATTCCACATAATTTGCCATTAAACATGTTGTTTTTGCTTCTGAAATTAATTATATCGCTTAAAATATTTAGGTCATCACCATCTTGTAAAATGACGAATTCTTGAATTAAATCACATACTTCATTAAATTCACTACTAGTGAGTTTCTCTTGATATTGGGGACTCAAAAAATAAGCAACATTGTGATAACATGTATTAATACCTTTTTTCTCTTTTTTAAATTTATTTTAAATTATTTTTACTTGATTTTTTTAGAGTATTTGACCGTATTTGACCAGGTCAAATACTCTTATGGTCAATTGACTAAATTTGACCGGTCAATTTACCGACTTGCCAATGATTTTATTAGATATCCTAAAAATATTACGAAAATACGTGATAAATTTTCTATTAGAAATGTATAATTTAATTTCTATATTTAAAAATAGAAACGCGAATTATACAGAAATAAGATGCACCGATAATATTTTTTAGCTGATACTAATTTATTCAACCCTATAAATAGTTGAATAAACTTGCAAAACATAATAAATAATTTTATAAAGTATCATAAAAATCAGTGTTATTAGAAGTTGCTTTTGAGAGCAGCTAGTTACAAGTTACATTATAGGAATTTGAATAAAAATAACATAATTTTTTAAAATTTTTCCCTAGATATATTATCATATTTAAACTCAGATTCCAAAAAATTTTAATCAAGTTGGATTTACTTTGGGCTGGAACAAAATTTTTTTAAAATCGTGCTCCGGTCTCGAAGGATTATCTTGCAGGGCTCTATACAAACTATATAAATTAATCATCTTTTTATCAAAATTTGGAAAATTGCGAACGGACCAATAGGTTGGCCCGGCCCGAAGCAGTCTATAGAAATTTTCTATCGGGGTTCTCGGTCCAACTCTTAATTTTTTTGGAGGAAATCAAATTTGCCAAATTATCACATTTTCATAACCTCGATGTGGTCCATAAATATAATTTGATTAATTTGTCCGCCCAAATATTGTTTGGTTCGAACCGCGGGCATCGCGATTTTTACAATATTTAATATATAAAAGCGAGTTAGTATATTATAATTTAACATCAAATTTTTTATGGATATTTAAAAGCTTCATACTAAATATGAGGGGATCCTAGGCTTACACATGAATAATTTTTTGAATCTGACCTTTGTTCGAATCTCAGTTGGAGAATATTTTGCTTCGCCTGGACTATTAAGGCAAGTATATAATAAGTGAGATGTATGATGTGAGCCAGATTTTATCAGCATTGTAATCTAAGACCAAAGAACAAAAAATTTTGCCACATAATTAAGTATCATGAATAATGTTTTTCGCTAATAATGTGCGCTTAATGATTATTATTTGTTGGATTCCAAAATTAAACAAATATATTGCCCACATATATTTGTTTATAATTTGACCCTACTTCAAAAATATAAAAATCTTATAACATGGAAGATTATTAAATATTCTCCTCTTTTTATCGCTCACTACTACATAATATTAGTAAAAATTGATGAATTCATTTTTTACAAATAGGTTGTTTAGTTTAAAAATTTCATATCAATATGATTTAATGAGAAAAATAGGTTAATACGACTTTTATTTATTATATAATTTGTTTTTTCAAATCACATGATAATTTTTCTCTTATTTTCCGAACTGACTTAATTATGTTAAACCCTGTTTTTACAATCCTAGAAAATTGAAAAATCTAATTCCTC